CAGTGAAACAAGAAGACTATTTCAATTAGACAGATCCCTTTTGAGAAGTAATTGTTTTTATTTTTGAATTTTTTTAATTGATCTTGAGTTGTTCCCTTCCCCTAATTAATTTTCTTCTTTTCTTTTTTAATTTAACAATTCATTAATTTTTAGATTAATCAACAGTGATAAATTATTGATAATAATCTTGGTAGATAGATATCATTACCAATTTATTAGGGAAGTATAATATTGTTCTCAAAATTTGACTTAGAGTACTTATATATAAAGATAAGTTAATCACTTTATAAAATTCTATAAACTATTATAGATTTTATTTTAATTTCTCAATAAGACAAGTCATTGTGATATAATTGTAGGTTAAAAAATAAAAAATAAAATAAAGAAAAGTAAGCTTTCTTTTTATTAATATGTTACATAGAACTAGCACCATACTAGAAAAATGAATTTACTATATATAATTGATTAAAACTTAAATTAAAATACATAGATCACAAAAATATAAATAAAATATTTAAGTAGAAAAATTTATGTTAATATAATTCAACTTGTACTATATAGGTACTGACTGCGGGTTAAAAATAAATAGGTAGTACAAAACTTTTGTGAGCAATCGTAAATCACGTGTCATTTGGTGATTTCTATATATTAATGGCACCTGGTCAATGTAAATGAATTTTTACCATGTCAAATAAATCGGTCCTCATTGATAAGGATAGTGAGCAACTTACTGATGAGAAAAAGGAGCAACAATATGTACACGATGTTTATCAAGCCATCGCGCCCCATTTTAGCCAGACTAGATATAAGGTTTGTCCTTTAGAATAAATTTCTTATTTAAGATATAGGATGAATATATACCCTTTTTACTTATACTTTGGTTGGCAAGCCGTGGCCTGTTGTTGAGCAATTTCTTAAAGGATTAGATGTGGGAAGTGTGGGTGCAGATATAGGATGCGGAAATGGTAAATACTTGGGTGTCAATAAGAATGTGTACATAATTGGATCAGATCGGTAATCTTCCAAGCAAAAGTCTAGCAATTGATTGATTTTTTTTTAGATAAACGTAAAATCGCTTACAGTACTCCTTTAAGATAGGAGTTCTAACCTAATTGATATAAGCGCGTCGAGGGGATTTGAAAGCATAATTGGTGATGCCTTAAAACTGCCGTACCGTAGTGAATGCTTTGTATCCTTGTGACGTGTTCCGTCGCTCGCTAAAACGTTTCGAAATTACGCACAATATTATATCGAACATCAAATTTTACTGCATTGATAAATCGAATTAGGACTTTGTAATTTCCATTGCTGTAATTCATCATTTCACAACACCGGAGAGAAGAATTGCAGCAATAGAGGTTCGAGAAACTTCCAAAATAACATTCTTCACGTGAAAGGGTTAAAAGGATTGACTGATATTGTTATCCCAAGGAACTTTTTCGGATAGTAAAACAAAGATCACACGTTCTGATATATGTTTGGGCTCTGGAACAAAACGATGCGCGTCGCAAATTTGACAAAGAACACCAAGACGTGTTGGTTCCCTGGGTTGTTCCAGCATCAAAGAATAACCCGAATAGAAAAGAAGAAGCTACTTATAATCGGTAAATTCGCATTTTAATAATTTCTTATGCCTCAGACTGACGCATGTTTTTTTTTTTTACATGATGACATCCGCCTCGGGAATAGCTATTATCATTTGTTCAAGAAAGGGGAGTTGGATGATCTTGTATTGAGTACTGGGAAGGCGCAAATAATCAAGTCTGATTATGATAAAGATAATTGGTATGTTGTTGCGAAGAAGAATGGTGGAAGCCAATGAGACTTGTCAAAAGAGAATGGACAATAATATATATTGTTAGATGTAATTATGATTATAACTTGTATATTACAATAATTGAACCAAAAATTCAGAAGACCAATTTTCCATTGAAACACACGATCAAGCCAGATTACCTATTATACCGTATCTTGTCGATATTTTGAGAACATCATGCTCAGGTTACCTCATGATAAACTTACCTCTATTCAACCCATTATTAATTTAATCACCCTTAAGAACTATATTGGGATCCGCTTTGACCTTACGTAAAAACAAATCATACCAATCCTGAAACACCTTTATAGATATATACGTATTACCGGTCCCAATAATTTGCGCATTAAAGGGTGTCGAGGATGTTGCAAAAGATGTGACATAGTTATAAAGGTTTTTGAGTATATTGAGTGGTATTTGACTAACTTCTGTGGTCGTGCTCGGCTGTTGATTTGATGTCTGACGAAGAGTCGCAATTTGAGATTCAACCATTGCAATCTGTTCAATAGAGATACCCAATGTGGCAGTTACTGGAGAAGCGGACGGCGCATCGTTGTCGTCCATGGACATTTCTTCGGTATAATTTGGTAACAATTTTGGCAATCCAAATGAAGGTACATTTGAAGTGACTCCTGGGACAGCAGTTCCCCGAAGACGGAAAATTGCGCTGGGTTTATCATTGGAAAGCCTACATATAAAATATAATTTCATCATGTATGCTTAAGGCGATTGCTTGAAATACGACTTTCAATGCTTACATCCCCAACAGTTTCCATCCTTGTTCCCCTCCGGGCCAAAGAAAATGAACTGTAGCAGCAAAGCCTGGTTCAAATGGGATTGTTCCGAGCAATAAAACTACTATATGATTTATGGTCGCAGCATCAGGAATTTCGAAAATATATTTATTAACATCAACTTGTTGAAGGTTTGTTTGAATCTGTTTACGAGGTTGAATAGTGGAATTCGAGGAAACGTTGAAGTGGTTTGTGAATATCCGTTATTCAGGCGTTAATAAACGTAAACTCTGAGAATTCCGGGTTTCTGAATTTCCCAAGCTTTCGGAACTATATACTAACCAGTCTTCCCGCAACAATGCAACCAAACATTATATCTTTAACTAGGATTAAAACACCAATTTTGTGCTTCTATAAGGAATAAAGCCGTTACTGCTGTCTTCCCTTAATTTAATCACGTGACCGACGCAAGAAAGGTCATATGACGGTTTTACAATAAACAAATTTATAGCATATTTTTAATAATAATAATTGTTTTTTTTAACCAGTTGTTAGATTAATACGATTTATCTTTATTATGTATTATTAAAAATAATTATAACTTTTACATATCAGTTTATTTTTATTGAAATTTACTCTCTTTAAATATAATTTAAAGAATAATATTTTGTTTTCTTCTTAAATAATAATATAATAATAATTTATTATTCTTTATTTTAAAATTAATATTAATTTTTTTATATAATTAGAATTATTAATTTAAGATTTATTAATATTTTAATTTAAAAAATTATCATATTAATAATTAATTTTTTTTTTTTTAAAGTTTAAATCTTAACTATTATTAAATATGAGTTTTATTAAGAATTAACTTAATATTTTGGTGGATAACTAAATCCGTAATATGATATCAATCATCTCATACAAACTATATATTTTTATATATATGCAGATTAATGATAACCTATTATGATTTGTCCTAGTTAAACCAATTACCACTCCTTGAATGGATAAACCTAACTAGGGATCAGATAATTAATATACAGTTATTAACAACAAGGTTAGACTAGTTAGTATTGAGTTTGTTAATTTGTGTTTTGTTAATATTTCACTATGCTAATTCTTTTCACATGTACTTGATGGAATATTTTTATACTCTTCAATATTCTCAGATATTATTTGCTCAGATCTCGAAAGAGAACATATTATCTTTTTTATTATCACCTGTGACATCAGATCAGTTCTTATTAATTAATTTTCAATTAAGCAGAGTATCAGATTGGGATATCCTGAGCTAGGAGAACAGGAGTTCTGAATATTGTCAGGGTAGGGGGTTTTGGAACATCTATAATAGATTAAATCAGAAGCCTTTCTTCATACAATCCTTCTGATAGTACAACTGTAAATTTCAGCTCCTAATCAATGGAAAGTCAGAAGTCCCATCTTCCTGTAACCTAACCTAATTGAATCTTGTTCCAGTTGATTGGGTATGACTTTCACAGAATAACTGGTAAAACCTGATCAGAAGATAATTTTTAATTTTTGATTTTTAAGTGATATTGAAATATAGATCTTATAATTGTGACCTGGGAGCACTACCACTATGCTATTGATCTATAGGTCTTATATTAATAATTAATTAATATAAACATATTGTATAGTATTTAATAAATTTAATTTAATTTAATTTGTGGATTTATAGTATAATAGTAGACTTTCATGTCAGGATCACAAGGTTCAGAGTTCAATATTATACAAGGACCATATGAAAAAAATAATCAGATTACACAAAGATGGAACTGAGTTGAAATAGATTTAATACAAGAATTGTATAAAGAAAGATCTCTGGTCTAATTACATAATTTACAACTATATATTTTCTTTAATTGAATAAAAAAAGAAAATTTCAGGATCCACTTTTAGAACTATAGTATTATCTAAATATTATATAATCCCCTTATCCTAATAACCTTCAGAATCATTAACCATTTTAACTTGGAATATTTCAATTTGATACTTGTTTAAATAAAGGACTTGTCAAACAGAACTTATTTGTAATATTATAGATAATGACAAAAAGGATAAAAATTCTCTTTAAGGTTCAAGTAAAAAATATCAAGATACCTGAATAATTAAATTAATTTATGAGAATTTGATCTAGTATATAATTTAGTATAATATAAGATTAATAGTAAAATCTATTAATTATATCAACATCATCATTTATGATTGTTATTAACTATTGGCTTTTAGTTGAATTTATCCTATTTTCAAAGTGGAAAGTAAGTTCAACTAGGATAATTATGATAGATTATTATTAATCTGTATATATATAATAATATATAGTTTATATGAGATAATTGATGTCATGTCAAAGGATATATGTGTTCAAGTTTAAGTTTATTTTTAATAAAAGACTTATATCTAATACCAGTTATAGTTTTAAAAAAATTTTTTTTTTTAATTTAATTTAAATTTTTTTTAAATTATACAGTTGCTTCTAAAAGTTTGAGTCCACTTATTATGTTTTTATTATGAATTTCAATTTTAACAATTTTTAAATCCTTAATTATATAATTTTTTTTAATTACAACTGGTATTAGATGTAAGTTCTTTATTGATAATTAAATCTTAAGTGTCACATCAATCATCTTATATATATACATGCAGATTAATGATAACCTATCATGGCTTGTTCTAGGCAGACCTG